TGGCCTTGGAGATGGAGAGGGAGGGCGAGGGCCTGGGCTCTCCCGAGCAGGAGCCCGTTCGGGACGTGGGCACGGAGAAGCCCGACAAGAACAAGGTGGGTTGTGGGGGCTGCGAATTGTCCAGTGTCCTCTGGAGAGTTACTGTTCCTACCTGCTCTAGCGCCGTCTTGAAATGTAAGCCTGGAAAGGGGAAGAGCCGGCCGTCGTGTTCCCAGGGGAGCCCAATTCTCATGTATCTGTAAATTGCTGCCTGCCACAAAATGGCTTGGCCATATTGCTTCATCTAGCATTTCGCTAAGAAACTGGAGACCAGAATTGGCGACCCTGCAAGTGGGAAAGGAGAATTTGTTTTTGCACATTAAAAGCTCCTTGTCCGTTTTTAGGACGGGTTTCCTTTGATGACTGTAGGGGTTATTCTGCTGGATAGGTTGGTAAGTACTTGAGAGGATGGGGTTAGGCTCCCAGAATCCATGGTACACTCGTTAACAGCTAACAACACCTAAAGCTTTCTGCCTTTATCATTACAAATACCATCAAGTGAATTGTAATTCAACTTGTAAACTTGATACCATTTGGTTTTACTATTATATGGTATGAACCTTGAATCCCGAGTATACTTAAGAGAGCACTTAAATCCCCTGCCCGTTTCCCGTGAAACTGAGCGTTCAGCAGGAGAGACAGTGTTACGGGAGGAAGAGGCCTGAGAGAGACAAGATGACAGCCCACCGTCATGGGCGGATAGAGAATCTGCACTCTTTTTTAACGTTTCTGCAGGCAGAATCGTGTGTGATCAAGGATTTGCTGTGGATGGGAAGACTGGTTCTCGATATCGAAACCGCTTCTGATCGAATTCAGGCGTTGGCGAAGGAGTCCTGTACTCGATTCCTGAAAGGCGACGCTGTCTGTCTGGCTTGAAAGTGTCAGACAGAGCGCTGGAACAGTATCTCAATCCAGCCCCAGCACACTGTGGGGGAGATGTAGAGACGGGCGCAGAAGGGCCAGTCATTTCTGAGTACAGTCCGCTGCTACAGGCAGTGCAAGCGTCTTGATCGGAGATAAGCAAGATGTGACATTCAGCAGCCCGTGACTTTTAGAATGAAATGGATTGAAATTTTTGATAGCAAACAGTTCAAGGAGTTAGAATGGAAAAGATGCAAACGGGCCCTAACCAGATGCAGGAGCTTTGCAATCCCATCTTCGTGGCACTGTTTTTGAAACCATCCACATCTTTCATCAACATCCCCTGAAGTTTGTTTCTTGTTTCTCTTGAATAATGAACTTGTGTTAAATAAACAGAATTTGGGACAATAATCCTGCTCTAAGGGCTGAGTCCACTTTTATCCCATTTCCTTTCTCATCATGCTTGTTTTACAGGCACAGACTGAACGCTTCCACATGCCCTAACCAGAATTATTTGTTTACATGCAGAGGCCTCTTGTGGTTGCATGCTGTAACTGCAGGTGGTTTCAATCAGAGATAATTTGTCAAATTCCTTTTTTTGTGTGTGTGTAGGAATTTGGCACTGGAACGCTCCCTTTTGTCCTTTGAAAGCCAGAGCTTTGAAACTGTATCCGAGCAGAAAGACCTAAACTTGTATTACCAATGCAGTTGCTGGTTCTTCTTGTTTTTCATGACCTTTGGAAATTTCATTTTGGATAGGGGAAAAATGATACAAAAAAATTCCTTAATTTAAATCTTTTGTTTTGTTGCTTAAATTTTCATATTACTTTTTTTTTTTTACGAAAGGAAAATCAAGTCAGGACTTCTGTTCACAGTGTTATTCATAGATATCCAAGAAAGCCAAGTTTAAAAGTTCACCCCTGTGGGCAGCATTAGAGAATGGCACTGTTTCAAGAGGTTCAGTAGTTCCCTTGCGTTTCCTGTCGCTAAATGAAGCCAAAACCTTTCTGGAATTTCATGTGGGTTGTTTTTTTTTTAAGAAGTAGTGCTTTTTTTTCTGGGACAGACTCCTTGGAGCCTATTTAACACTTTTAAAATCTGACACCTGTACCCGTTTTGCACACGGTAACAGCTCATCAAGCCTTTGCAGTACAAACTTAATCATTTTGAAGAAAATGAGAGATGCAGGGTGGCAGAGTGGCACAGCCTTTGACGTTGCATCCTCGCAGTGCTGGAACCTTGGGTTCAATTCCAGACCTGGGGTTCTGTCCGTGTGGAGTTTGTATTAATTCCCTGCATTTGCGTGAGTTTCCTGGTTGTCTCGGTTTCCTCCCACAGTGCAAAGACATACTGGTAGGTTAATTGGTTTATGAGAAAGTTGAAGTGAGTGTGTGTGTCTTTGTTTATGTCCTGTGATGGACTGGCATCCTGTCCAAGGTGTACCCTGCCTTTTGCCTGTTGTTTGCCAGGATAGGCCCTGCCCCCCCCCCCCCAGTGACCCCAAATTGGAAGAAGCAGTTAGAAAATGGATGGAGGATGAATGGAATGAGAGTTGAGCGAACGGCACAGCTTGTGTAGTGAGCGAGCCGCCTAGAAGCAGCAAAGCTGACTCTGTCTTTCCGGCCTTCAGGAGATGGAGCTGCTGGAGTCCCTGCTGCGGGCGAAGGCAGAGGGACCGGACAGCTGGGATGGGCGCAGTGCCAGCAGCCTCCGTTCCGCCCTCAGCCGCCAGGACCGCAACCGCCTGCTCTGGGATGACATCACCATCCTAGAGGAAGACACCAGCAAGGTTACCGCCCTCCAGCTGCGCCTCGACGAATCACAGAAGGTCCTGCTCAAGGAAAGAGAGTAAGCAGAGGCTAAGATTGACGCATCTAAGGCATTAGGTAGGATTGGGACAAGTGTGACAAGAGAGGATGGAGACAGCAATTAAGTAGGAAATGGTGACACAGGTAGCTGGACAGAGTGAAGGCATGTGTATTTCTCATTTGGGATTGTAAAAAACCACTTCAGTCAGATATGCCCAGCAGAATTAATGCACAATGTGTGTCCCCAGTTTTAGCCCTTGGTGAACACCAAAGGTCTTGCTCTTAGTCAAATGTAAAAATTGTTGTTCATGAAATGTCTCTAAAATTGTTATTGTAAACCTACATTGGAGCTGTACGAGACTTCTATAGTGTTTTATAGCTTGTCTTGTGGGTATATGGTTATTGCTTTTTAGAATAATCTAAAAGGGGAAGATTGAATTAATTCCTTTTACAAACTGTAATGTGAATGTTCACATGAATTGCTTGTGAATTCTGTTTGCAGAGGGCAGATGTTGTCTTGTTATTTTTTGCAGTATTTTTGCAAATGAATGTCTCTTTGAGACAATACGTTGGGCTTGTACCATTTCACATTATTAGTGTTTCGAGTTCAATTTTTTTTGTCAGTGGACCAATTTTAATTTCCAGCCAAAAAAAGCTACACATAGAGACAGACTTCACTGGCGTCGTCTCCTGCTAGATGCGATGAACCGAAAAGAGTCTTGAAGGAAATGGGATGAATTAACAGCTTTCTGAGTTGCAAGAAAAGATCCAAGATTGGTCCCATAGTAAAAATAAACCATTAAAAATGTCAAATTCTAGAAATAAAAAATAACTAATAACGTTATAATTAACTAATTAGGTTACCTAATAAAGGTAGTAATTAGAATCAAAATACTAGGATTTAATTGCAGCATTTTGCAAATGGTTAATTTCAGTACTTAAATCCTGTGGTATTTTAGTTCCATGAGGATCATTGATTTTCTTAAGGGGGTAGTTTGATGAGCACATTCTTAGGTAGAATTATACACCATGGTCACTTGGACTCCAGTGTGCTGTACAGCAGGCGTGGGCCTACAGCACAAGCATTGCTTGAAATGAGGCACAAACTGACAACCCTTCTTCCGGGGCTGTGTCCTGACGGGCGGACTTCAAGCAAAACAGATAAGGAAATATTGCCTTGATGAATGCGAAATACGGAGTCGGCCTTTGCAGCTTCTCTTCAGTCCCTGGCCTGCTCTTTTAATACTGTCTGACCAAGGAGACTCTTGAGTGAGGAATGAATGTGACTCCCTGAATGATATCGGCTGAGTTGAATGATACCAGGGCAGAGTTTTAGTGGTCACTGAAGTGGTGATGACACAAGAGCCGGGTGGGGGCTTCGCTGATCAGCAGTCTGTGCTGAGGCACGGTGGCTGTTTAAAACCAAAGTCTTCAATCCACAATACAGCCCTGGAGCTCTGTATACTTGCAACGGAAAATGAGCCTCTCAACTGATTAGTGAGCTTTGATGTGAAACGCAGTGGAAACCCATGTATACAGCACCAAGGGCGTGGTTCTTTTTTTACTGTTTTCCTTCTGTTCCGAGTCTGCAGTTTTTCTCTCAAGACGAAGGGATGAAAGGTTAGCCGTGCCAGTGAGGGAGGTCAAGATGGCCAGTCAGCTTGAATTGGAGCTTACTAATCAAACGAGAGACGGAGAGATTGGCTTTCTCGAGCTGAGCCGCTGTCTGTGTGCGACATCCCCTCGGAGAGTTTTTGGCCTCAGACACATCCTTACCAATCTGCCAGACTGAGATGCAGAGCAGCCTGACTGGAGGAGAAGGCACCCAAGGCTGCCATTTTTGCTTTTCTTAAAAAAAAAAAAGTCATAACACGGAGAATGTGTAACAGTTTAAAACATGAGTACATCAGCAAAATAGAAGACGTCACCAGAGAGACTTCAAAACACCTTCCCGATTCATGAATTATTTAGGAATGCAAAGTCAATATGTCAGTGTTGTCGAGCATAAAAATCTCCTAGAGAACTAGAGTCCTCTGGCTTCATTCCAAGCTAAACCACTTCTTAGCTTAAGTAGCTGTTCCTGCTGAAGGTGATTCTATCTTCACTGGTCTAAATGGCCCAGTTTTTCTCTTCTCCACCTCATCTGCTGTGTAGTGGGGCTACAGGCAAGGCCACTTAACTCTGGCTGGGTCCTCCACTTCAGTGGTGGACAGGCTGAGTCCTTTCCTGTGTGTATCAGTATGAAACAAGCTACCCAGCACTGCGGCTGATCCCTGTATTGTGGCTTTCTTCCAGAAACTGGATGAGAACCTTCGATATCTTAACAACTCGCTACCAAACAGGCTGGATGGGCTGAATGCCTCCTCTCGTGTGCAAACTTTCTTATGTTCTGACAAGGGCACTCAAAGCACAGCTTTGTTCCAGCTTCACAGTAGAATAGTGAAGGTTTGCTAATGACATGCAAAAGATGCAAATGGAAATCTAACCTGCCATTGCTGCAGAGTTACATTGTGCACCTCTGTGCCATGTTCTCCCACATGTGCATCATCTTAGAAACTATGTCGTTTCTAACTACCTGGTGGGTAGTCTTGTTGCTTATGCCAGGCACGCTGGCATATAAAACGTTTGTGGCACATACCGCCTTTGTCCCCGCCCCCGACATGTCAGCAGCCCGACCACAATCCGATTAATATTAGAAAGCAAAAATAATCGATGCTTAAAATGTGCAGTTGCATCATCCCTACAGAAACTGGCAGAAATGTGTCTCGCTGGAACATTATTTACGTCCTTGAAACACCTCACGTGATTTCCAGGTCTTAGAACGTGACCTCCATCTCGGGTGTGTTGCCCTCCAGTAACAAACACATATCCCATAGAAACAGTATTTCATTTTATTTTTTTTTATTTTTCTCATACCTCCAAAATACAAAATTCCATGGCTCACCTGTTGGTGTCTGAAGGCACGCCGCTGCTGTCACTGGTTATGGTAAACCCATCTCTCCACGATATCTCTGCCACTTCTTTTCTCTGCAGTACGCCATTTTCACAACACAGCTGTCTGAATAGGCCACCTAGTTTTAAAAGGGCATGCCTATACTACAGAGTTTGTGTCTCTAAATATGGAATAAGTAACAAATGCCCATTACTGTGTACTTTCCCATTGGAATCTAATCCCGCTTTCTCAAGTGCTGTGGTCTGAGATACAAAAACAAGATGTGGTAGGACTTTCTTTAATGACGTTTAGGGCTCTCTGGATAAGTGCCCAGATTTTTCATGGAAATGAATTACCATGTTTTGGTGAGAAAAAAATGATCTAGTTGAAGATAAAGTTTGTGCAGTTTAGGCGTTCAAACTGCAGAAGTGATTTTTGTTTTGTAATGCTTTCCCTATTGATCTTATTCTTGTCTTTTGCAAATTGTGCAGGCTGCTGTACATCAACATATTGGGTGATAATAGTGTAGGCTTTCTTTGCAGAAATATGGAACCAGGTTGCTTTGATGGATGCAAACACTTGGTACACTAAGCCAAAAAAGAAAACGGCTCTTCAAAAGCCAGTTAATGTTGCCTCTGCTCATGGAGAATTCTGTTTAAAGGGCCTTTGCTGAGGCATGTAAAATAACACAGAGCTGCGAATGGACAGTACCTTCTATTCCAATTGAAGAGTAGCGCTTGAAAGACCTAGCTATACATCTTAAAAGGTAATTCCTGCATGGCTATAGGGTTAAAATACTCAGAGGTGACAACATAATTGAGTAAATTAATGGGATGATACCTTCTCAACAGATTTGAACTTTTGTTTTTGAAACATCAATTTATCCTCATGTGTCAGCGTGTGCTTTCTAGCCTTTTTGACACATGGATCCATATCGCTCACGTAGGCTGCCTGTCTATGATGAATGCAGACAGATGCTGTGCTAATTGCCTGCTTGAGGAGGGCTTTGAAGTGATTTATGAAAACGAGTCAAAACAGGAGCTTGATGGCCTTTGTTGTGAACTCGCCCCCTCCTGGTGGAACGCACAGATGAAATATAAACACATGCGTAGCTGGAGTCAGAACGTTTCCTCTTTTGCCTCATAGGCAGACATAAAAAGGCATTAGCCTGACACCTCAGTTATTTCCATTAACTGGAAGTGGATATTAAGTGACATTGATTCATTTGCAGCTCCTCGGCAACCTGACCTGTGGTGAGTGATTGAGGTGGAACAGTGATGGTTTTTTACATTAAAGCTCCCCATTTAATTTTCTCCAGCATCTCTTTTAAAGTGTCAGTCTGGCAGGTGCTTCCATAGTTGTGAAACAAGGAGTCATCAGGTGTAAACATTGACCTGCTCCGGTTTGCCCTATTGATCCACAGCCATGCAGCATGTACCTAAGGAAGTGGGGGTGTACTGTATGTATGTTTTTATATACAGGAGTCTTGAGCTCCTGTTCTGCATGCTAAATAGCGGGATCTGTATGTTCAGCTAAAGCCTGAGCAATGTGTTTGTCCTCGGCAGGGACAAGCTGTCTCTCAGCAAGAACATCGAGAAGCTGGAGACGGAGCTCAGCCAGTGGAAACTTAAATACGAAGAGCTTAATAAGTCCAAACAGGAGGCTCTGAAGCAGGTGAGAGAGTGAGCAGTTGGAGAATTAAAACCCCCCACACATGCACTTAATCTTGGCAGCAGAGTTAAAACACACATGGAATTCGTAAACCTAAATCTGGAGCCCTGAGATATATTGACCGATGATGCAAAACAAAATTCTGCTGTGCCAGTCCAGGGTCCTGGGGTGTCAAACCCTGATCTTAGAGGGTTTGTATGTCTGCAGGTTTTCAGTCTTAATGGGACCAATTTAACAGCTTCTCCTGGAACCCTGCAGACACATCGGCCCTTCAGCACCAGGGTTGGATACAGATATACGTCCCTTTGCAGAGACTGCCACGGATCCTACTGGAAAATAAACATGCTTATTACAGTGAAAATGCTAAATTTCCAGTGCAGTATAAATGATCCAGCTAAAGTATCCAGTGCATTTTAATGTGTGAGGATGTTGTAATATCTTGGAGATAAAAATAGAACGCCTGTTTTCTAATTTCTTTGAAGTATGTTTTTGTTCCTCTATTCCTCTATTTGTATTTGGTTTTTTTCTTAAAGCATGATTGCTCACAAATTTTAAGCAATTAGTATTTAAAATCCTTTTGAAACAAAGCATAATATCCGAGCACAAATATTATGCATAAACTAGCATTAGACTTGCACTATAATTAATGATAGGGCGCATATCCATGTTGTGCCAGGATAATTATGCCATTAAACACAACAGTATAATTTTTTTTATTGCAAAATATATATTCTGGTCACCACTGTGGTGACCAGAAGAGGGCTCCCAAGTTTCAGGAAACTATGTCAAAGGGAGGCCTTAAAAATACAGGCCACTAGCAGCACTTACTTTACCACTGGGCTCAATATCAGGGATGATATTTCAAGAATGAAAGGAGACCCGATTTTCAGGAGCCAAATCATGCTTTTCTGTCAATTCAGTCTCCAACCACTTTAGATAATATGCTTCGTAAAGAAAACATATTCGAGGGCCATCTAAAATCCTGTGGTAAACTGTCTTTGATCAGCTAGAAGGAGAGTTTTTTTTAAATAACATTTTTTGTAACAGTGTAATGACTTTTAATGAACCCCTCCAAAAAAGAAAAAAAGAATAAACGGTTTTCTAGTTGCGCCTCTGGGAAGACTTGTCCTGCCATTTTGTGTTTCCATTGGGATGAAGGCCAAGTGATGTCGTGAGGCTGGATGTTTAGTCCGAGATGAAGTGCCCTTTTAGAACTGCAGTTAAAGATCTTTTCTCAGGTCCCAGTGGTATAATGGATTTGACAATGTGTCTATGCTTTATTAGTCTATTTTTGTCCCTCTTCCAGTGGGAATTGGTTGCACAGCTATGTGCAACGTATGGAGCAGACCAGGGCTTGTCCCCAGGAAAAGGACTTAGATATTCCTTTAACACTGACAGGTTGAAGGAATCGAACCTATTTAGCCTTGAACAGAGAGGATTATGAAGGGACCTGATCCAAGTATTCCAAGTCATCAAAGGCATTGTTCCATTGGACGTCTAAAGAATGAGTAGTGGAACATTAACCAGAAGACAGAAGTATTAACTGCATGGACCAAGATGCTCATCCAACCAGTACTAGGGCTTCCTTAAAGAAACAGCTGGATGAGTCTTTGGACGACTTATGTTCTCGCAACAAAATGGACTAGATGGGCAAATTAGCCCTGCCTTGTTTGTAACCTTCTGTTCTTCTGAAGAGTCTGGCTTTGTGACAGAAGGCAAAGCAGGGCAGGCCAGCATGGGACTGCAGGCCCTGGGTCTGCAACCTTTGTACCCCGGCGCTTTAACTGGTAGCTTTCTGGGGTGGCATTGGTTGTGGTTGCAAAGCTACTGTAATTAAATTACGTCTTGTGCTTCATATGAGATGACTCGGCCATTAAAAATCCCACGGCACTGTTTGTAAGAGTTGATGTGTTAACCCTGGTGTCCTGGCTAAATTCCACGCTGGACTTGTGCAATCTGGCCTTCCCGAGTTTCCCTCTTAATTCAGTTGGTGAAGCAATTTCTCGCTCCTCCACCTGATCTGCTTATTAGCAGGGCTGCTGGCGCAATATGGCCATAACGCATCACGCCTACAGTTGGGGGCTACTCTTCATGGCTAGAAGAGTGGGTCTCCTTATATATTTAAGGTGCTTTGGAATATTCCAAGACAAAAAAACACCATATATGCAAATGCACTTTATAGTTATTATTGATATAGACTTACTTTATAAGTACTATAAATCACCTGTTCTATTTCAAAAATTAAAATCCATTTGAATGCAACCTCGCATTCAAATGGATTCAGTTCTTTATTGGTCAGATGGAATCTAATTCCAAGCTTTATAGCCTACTTTTTTATTCCAAGGTTCTAGTCTTGAATACTAAAATCTCCAGAAGAAGAATCATTCAGTATTTATATATTCAGTCATATGTTCATATATTTTTTCTGCTTTTCCCTGACCACGTTTGAGGTTGGAGAAGTTATGATGTGTATATTTTGCCGTAGAGTGTTTTTGTAAGTTTCAAGGACTCCCAGGGAATGCGTGCGTGCAGAGACTGTGCTTAGTGTTCAGACTCAGTGCAGTGACGGGGTCCTCTTCTCTCTTGTATCCCCGCCCAGCTCAACCTGCTGAAGGAGGTGCACCAGGACGAGCTGGGCCGCATGTCGGAGGACCTGGAGGATGAGCTGGGGGCCCGCTCCAGCATGGACAAGAAACTGGCCGAGCTGCGTGTGGAGGTGAGGCCTGGAACTGGGCGGTGGGTGTCCTCATATCCTCCAAAAAGCCAAAATAAAAACTGATCTTCGGGAAGCATGCATATTCTCATTTGTTCAGGAACATGAAGTAGATCGCCCCAAGTTCAACTAAAAACCTGTGGTTCCATTGCTGTATATGCTGTTATCATGGGGCTCCCACTGTGTAGACAACTTTAAGGAATTGCATCATATGACACAAAAGCATTTGGGTCTTTATTTTCAGCCTTTGCAGGATGATCAGAATCAGCTGTGCTGGGAAGCAGCAGGAATAAAAGATGCAGCGGTCTACAGATTAAGGAGGGGAGGCAGAAGAAAATGGCGCTGTAAATGGCATTGTTATTTCCTCAGCGTCTCCTCCGCGCGGGGATCAGGCTGTTTTGCCAGATAGTTTTTCTCGGGGCTCCGGTTAGGAATAGGCAGGCCTGCCTATGGCTTTTTGCCGATGCCCCTCCCAGTGGCTCTCTTGCCTCGGCTGATAGGGACCTCTGCTCAGATGTCTTCCTGGTTCTCTTTCCAGCGTTCAGCTTGCAGCGTGTGCAGCGAACTGCTACAGATTTCAAAAGCATTGTGGTCTGAACGCTTCCTCCCAGTGTAAAACAATCATTTGTCAGACTGCGTGTTTTTTAAAATAATGACCAGTCGGCAATATTGCCTAATACTGTGTATGCATACGGGACTATTGTACTCTTATTGTTTTGCTGATGTGCAGTCTGCATGTAAGAACTAAGGAACAACAACAGATTATAATAAAGCCAAGTACTGAAATGACCTGGACTCAGGCGTCGGCCTCTGATCCTTTCACTGTCATTTCTCCCTCCCTCGCATTCCTTCCAGGGCTGTAATTTGTGATGGGAAAATACATAAACAAACTCTGCACTCTGAAGCTCTGGGCACACTGAAATAGACGCACTCTTTGGGCTAACACCCTAGCAACAACCTGTTTCACACTGAGAGTGCGTTATCCATGTCAATGCGGATCGCAATAAAACCAAAACCTTTATTATTTTTATTGACAGAAAATGGCATTTTCCTCCCCCCATCCTAAGATCAGACATGCCCATGGGGGACACGACAACAGGCCCTTTCCTCTGGCATGATAAAAGCAGGCTTTTATCAACATTGCAAGCACAATGTTTGGCAACACAAGGTGTTTTTTTACCCATAATGCAGCCACTCACAATTTCAGTGTTGAAGGACAACAGAGCTGAAAGATGCCTCCACACAGACAGAGTGGGGGTGAATCTGGAGGCCATAGGGAGAGCGATGGGAGACTTTCCTGGGTTGGCCAGCAGGGTGTGTCAGCGCTGTGTAACCCCTCCCCCAGCAGGTGGGAGCCAACACGCTCCACTGCCTCTCCATTTTGTCCGGCGCAATACATCGCTGCCGGCACAGGCTGGATTACAACATGCAATCCTTTTACGCAAACTGCCTGGAAAAATCAGTGTCTGTGAAGGCCAGGGGGTGCGAGGGCCCCTGGGAGGGTTCAAGCTGCTGCTGCTGCCAGCTAGCCTTGCCAGTCTGCTGGAGTCTGGGGCAGCACTGGCTGCTGGTGCAGAACTGGGGCCCAGGCCTGCAGGTCTTCTGAATGAGCACTCAGCTCGGCTTCTCGGGCTGAGCTAGGGTTAGGGTTAGAATCACCGACACTCTTTGGTTTCACTTATCAGGGTTGCACTTCAAAAGTAATAAGTGTGTTTGACAAGTAGAATGGTATTTTTTCAATGCACTTTACGATAGGAGCAGTTTATTGTAAATGACCTTTTACATCTGCAAAGCAATGATAATAACAGTTAAACATTACTTTTTCTTTGTGTATGTTATGCCCTTGCACTTAGCCATAGCATCAACAAATGTTGAGTTTTTGTGGGAAAGCTAAGCGTAATCCTACTTCAAGCCTAGTTCCCAGCCATTTAGTAAGCTGTATGTCAATATATACCATTTGTTTGAGTTGAAAATGTGCCTCACTTAATCAAGCTATTACCCTGAAACAACCAAACATATTGGGCAGGAGTTTCTCACAAAGTCGCCATTCATCAGGGGCCTTGCTTCGCCTAAGAGACGAAAAGCCTAATTAAAGATTTTAATGTACAAGACATTAACGTCTGAATGAAGAGTCAGGAACATTTGCACAAATACACACCCTGTTCCAAGCCTGTGTTTATTTGATTGAACTGGGATTGATGTGTGGATCAATTTCAAAACAAAAATAGGTCTTATCACTCTTAAACTTTTGTTTTATAGCCTGAAAATCCTTAGTCTTTGAGTGAGTGTGTGTATGTCACACACAGCCAAAATGTTAATTGAATCTAACCCTCGCTGTGAGTTCATCTGTATCAGAGCCATTGCATGAAGCTCTGTCTGTCCATCTGGACCTCATCAAGGTCAGTCCCTCCATTATCACCCTCAAGTCTTATTAACCCTGTCTGATGTACAAATATCCTGCAGCATGATTCCACTCAAGCCAAAATAAATCTCTACAAGTGTCAGAGTAATAGTTATTATATTCTTTGAACGATGTTCAGCATACTAAATGAAGAAACCGTTTCCTTCAGTGGTAGCCAAAACATTACATACATTAACATTTTTGCAGTCACTGACATAAATATAATGTCAAGTTGAAAACGCTTTTAAATAAGGTGGTTTGGACACTTCGTGGTTGGTATTTTATTCAGAACTTGCTGGTTGTTATTTTTTGTGAGCACAGTGACACAAACAGAAATTCTCTTGGCTGAGCAACAGTGAAATATTGTCTTTCATCCACGCTGAAAGCGGTTTTTCCTCTCCTTTTTCGGTGTCTTCAAAAGATGCATCGCACATTTCCAAAGCCCTGAAGTAGGCCTGGCTCCTGAACGCTCGTCTCCAGTTTCCGAGAAAGTTTTATCTCGGATTTAACTTTCTAGCATGTGAGAGGGAGTCTGCCCCGCTGTGATCTAGGAAGTTATCTCTGGGAAACAGGACATACCTTCTGATGTCTTTGACTGCTTGCCAGACAGAGCAGAGAAAGGGGACGATTGCCCATCTTCTCTCTTAAACGTCTGAAACAACTTTCATGGCTTCCCTCGAGTTTTTTTTTTTATACATTTCCCATTTATAGTTTGTAATATTTTGGAACTAAAATTGAGGGCTTTTAATGACTTTACCACATCTTTCTTTAGAGCCGTCTTTCATGCAGTTTGTGAATTTTTGACAGCCGTCTGACTGGCAGTAGAATTCGACACGATGCGTGCTTCATACCTTCTTGTGATCATTTGTTCCTGAAGGCTGAGCAGCTTGGAGAGCCCAGACTGCTTAATTTTCCACTTCGTACCTTTAATGAGGCAGATCCATTAATCCTTCTCTCTCTCTCTCTGCTGGACCTCTGACTTCCTCCCTCCCTCGGCTCCTGGCTCTCTCTCCAACTGTGGCCCCTCCTGTGCTGCTGGCCCCCCAGATGGAGCGGCTCCAGGCGGAGAACGCGGCGGAGTGGGGCCGGCGGGAGCGCCTGGAGACGGAGAAGCTGACGCTGGAGCGCGACAACAAGAAGCTGAGGGGGCAGATCGAGGACCTGGAGGAGCAGCTGGCCCGCAAGCGCAGGCAGGCGGCCAGCGCCCTGGACACCGACCTCAAGAGCATCCAGAGCGAGCTCTTCGAGAGGAACAAGGTGAGGGCGGAGCGCTCTTCTGAATGGGTTTTCTAATGGTGTGGTGTAGCACTTTGAGAGACAAAGAGAAAGGAAGAAGCAAAGACCGTGACCTAGGGTCCCTTCCCACTGAAGGCCTTGTTAGGGCTGTTCAGTGGCGACCTTCGAAGACCTCGTTCAGCAGTCGATAATTCTGAATCACCCAGGCAGGTGTGGCAGTGAGAAAACAAAAGAGAAAACCGGCCAACCCGGCTTTGATTGCTTAAAATGGATGTTTCCCCCTGTCTTTTGTACTGCTAGAGAACCATATTGTACACCAGTAATGTATATAATGTACACATGTACACAGTGATGTTTTCATGAAGTACTCTGTTAGTACATTGCACAGGATTTTAAGCAGTTCCAGAACTGGTTTCAGTTCAGTTATCAGCATCCCCATTTATAGATTTCTTCTTGCTTGAAGACCATGTGCCGTAAATAGAGAAACGCTGTCAATGCACAGTCTGCTTTGAGAAAGGTGAAGCAGGGACGTGCAGACTCCATCTTAGGCCTCTCTGCCGGAGACATTAAGTGTCTGCTTTCACCAAAGGCCCCTATTTTTTTTTACTCTCTGTCCAGCTATATCTTCATGTCCAGTGAGTAATCTGCAAGACCAGGTGTGCCTTTATAAGAATCTATTAAAGAAATCTATTAGGAAATAAAAAACACTTACTGGCAGGGTTTATGAGTGCCATTAGGAGTTGAGCTGTTTCAGGAATGGGCGATTTATAGGCTTGGCTTAAAGCATTTTGTGGGGTAGGCTATAAATCTCCCAGCCCGCTTTTCTCCAAGTGCTCAGGGTGCGGCCAAGCATCTGACTTAAGGCCAGGCTTGGGGAGTTTGAGTTTCTGAAGCACAAGGAGACTCAAGAGAACATGCTGGCAAATGTCCTCTTATTGCCCCATCCTTCCTTCCATCAGTGGGCAGAAGGAATGAAGGGTCTTCAAGCTACTGAGGCTATAGAAGCAGGCTAGTGTAGAAGACCCCTCGGGGGGGGAGCAGAGATTAACGTGACCCGTAGCTGAGATTGATATATTGAGCAGGCTATGGAGGTTGCAACCGAGACAGAGATTAAGACGTAATCCAGGAGCCGAGACAAGAATAAAGTGAGATTAATAAAAGGGATCAATGAAATAAAATCGCAAAACTGCAAAACCCATCCAGAAATGTAGGCAGGATTTCTTTGATTTGAATTGCTTTTCCCAATTTAAATACAGAAGAAATAAAACCGCTGTTCTCTGCTCTGATAAAAGCCTTTTACAGATCTGTAGTGTTGGGATTGCCTCTTTCGAACAGGGTGTGCCTCTTCCAAATAGTTAAAAATGTGTAATACCAGCATAGGACTGTTCAGTCGTGAAAACAAACAAGAAATTAAAATCATTGTCATACAGAAGATAACATGAGATCCAGAGGTAAAAGAGATTAATGCGGGTTGCACTTGCTATTGAGACGGATGTATGGACTGAGCTATGAGGACGGAAACAGATGCGGAGATTAAGACGCAACACAGACTCTCAGGCAAAATGAAGTGAGATTGATAAAAAATGCATAAAGGTACGGAGTAAAGAAAACAGTCTGCGGCAGGTATATAGATTGATGTCTTCTGCAGGAATGCGCTTTGGGCAATGGGTAAAAAGTTTGGACACGGGCACGCCATTAGATAGAGATGGATGAGGGTCTGGCAGCAGACAGTGCGTGCAGAGATATAGAAGCATCTTTAAGGAAAGCCAAGTGTGTGGGTCGAGGAGATGAAGAAAGATGGAGAAGGGAAGACCAGGTCGCATTATTTTTATGTACCTGAAAATGGATCAGCTTTAGGAAATTAGTAAAGGTCGAAAGGAGATAGCAATGACAAGGCTGTCCTTGCGCTGATGAATCGGTTTCGTTCCTACAGAAGTGACGGTTTCAAGTTGTATTGAGCCCTACTTGAGTTGGAGTGAGGGGCAGAAATGCATTAGAGCCAGTCCTGATGGGTGTGGGGACCCTGTCAGCCTTCTTCATGGAAATGGCTTTTAATTTTCAGTATACGAAGGCAGAGGTGTGAACGGGGAGCCGTGTCAGTGTACGGGCTGTGAAGGAACAAGCAGAGGTTGACTCCACTCTGAAAAGCAGAAAGAAAAAAATATTTCGGCTATCAGGCCTCCTTCAGGCCTCCTCCCTCAACTGCTTTGCTGCTTTCTTCTGAAATAGTGTTTTTGTCTTTTTTTACTTAAAAGAGAAAAGGGAAAAGCAGCACATCTAAAGCTGCTTGTGTGATATTTCATGGATAGATATAGATGGATGTTTTGACTTCAATTAGTCAATTGGTTACTCAAATTAATTTCCAATCACTTTCCTGTTGGGAAAACCTGCAGTCTCTGTATGTTGTGGCTGTCAGTAACACAGCTGTTTTGAGGTGTGTAGAAGTCCTGATGAAATGTTGTATGACACTGATTTGATCTTTATTTCATAGTCCTGTTAATTTCTATCATTAATTTTAGTTCTTACATGAAAGACAGTGTTAGTTGCCTTTCATTGAAGTACCTTTTGTGCTTAACATTCAAAGCATTAAGGGTCTAGGCTGCAGAAGGTGCTTCTACATTGTGGGAAGTTAGTAATTAAATGATCGGGCAGCCAGCGATTTCAATAAAAGATCTAATAGCTATGATGACTTAATCTGTATTTTATTTTTAAGGGGCAAGCTCAAATTATACGAAGAACAGTAAAAAAAGACACCCAGATAAACTGTTACAGCCTTTCTCAGTATTAATTGCTCGTCTTTTTATGTTGATATAAAAAGCTGCCAATTCCCTGGGCTATTTCCATTCCATTAAACCGAGCTTTAAAATTCAGATCATTCCATTTTCGTTTGTGGAACGTCGATGAGGATATGTCTGCACTTTAAACAGAGTGGTTCTTTGTGGGGGGAACAAACTAGGGGAGAAAATGTACTTTTCTTTTCTTAATGCTCTTGATGTAGACAGAGAACACCTAAATCATATAAAATGTTTGCCTACAAATTCAGTTAACAGAACGTGTGTGCAAAAGACTGCAGTCTCCTCTTTGAATGAAACAGAGGCTGGATTCTCTCTTCTCTCCTGAACAGCCTTTATTTTATTTTATTTTTTGCTGGACAGGTATAATTCCATGGGGGGAGAATAAACTGTCTTCTTTTTGAAAGATATCATTTGATACAAATGCTTCTTTGATATCTGTCCGACTCGAGACAGGTTGTACAACCTCTTCTGAGCAATGATGTGTTTCCGTGAAGCATAACCGAAATGCAGAATCATTCCCAGACAGAACAGCAACATGAAAGCAATCCCGCTGAAGGTAACCTCAAGATTTTGGCATAATTTCTGTGTACCTGCCAAGGGAGCGTTTTGTTTTAATTATTTTGCAGAACAGGAGTGCTGTGTGTCCTTTTGATTTGTTTTAACACAGTGTAGCAAGGTGGGTATATCACAGAGCAGACAGTGTTACATCTGTCTGAAGAGAATTGGAACTTATCACATTGGACTCTGAATCCCAGGTAGCTTTGGCAGCACATATACTAAAATTGGAACAATACAGAGAAGATTAGCATGGCCCCTGCTCAAGGATGACACGTAAATTCGTGAACCGTTCCATATATAATGAACATGACTACAAGGTTTAGGTATATTTCAGCTCAGAGGTGAGACCTTTTAAAAAGAGCTCTTTTATAAAAGTTACCTCTATTCCTGTTTTTTTTTTGACAAAAGATCTTGGCTTTAAATTGGGATTTAAGTCCAAAGCTATATCCTTCATTCTTGAAAGATTTTCTCATTGAAGATAATAAAATTGTGTTTTTATTTTAAACAAAATATTGTTTTAAATAGGTTATGTTTTTTCAGCTGTTGGGGGAACCCTGTGACATGGATGATAGACAAAGCATCTTGAAACAGGTTTTTGTTTAATTATTTACAGCTTATTCCATGGAGACTTTCCAAGGTCTTCTCATAATTCACTGCTTCAATGCTGCATAAAACAGTGACTTTGTGACCCCAATCTTTTGAACAGAAATCTTTCTCCCTTCATTGCCCTGCCTGCTCAGCCTGTTTCACATGCACGTATTGCTGCCTAGGAAAATACCGTTATTTCACCTGTGCTCCTTTTTTTATATAAAAACAGATCATTAGTTTTAAGAAAAAAAATGACTGAAGTATAATTACTGGTTTTAGGGCATCCCAGATTCTGGGAATGACACAAAAGTTGAATTCTCCAAGGTGGAGTCCATGATATTGAATACATTTCCATTTGTTTATTTTTTCCTCTGAGGTGTTTGTAGGAAGTGTGTTTTGGAGCCTGCAGAACGTTTGAATTAAGGCGCTTTCCTTCGTTCTGCCCTTAAACTCCAGCCCTTGCCTGTCTTTGCCACTCGTGCTGCTCAGGGCCGGTACCAGGAGGGAATTGTAGGTGCCGTAGCTACTTTGCAGACTGCACTGCTCCTCACACAGATGGTGTGCACGACACTGCAGTACTCTCTGCCAGGGAGCCTGATGTTCCTGCAAGGTGTGCATTTTTCAGACCGAGTGCTGTGAACAAAAGACACATTGCCTAACAAATGGGTGCTCAAGGAAATGGAAATGCTAAGCCTCATTAGTGAAGGATTTATTTCGGGGACATAATGTGTAGTCCACATAACTGCTTCTTCTGCCTATATGCATAGGTAAACATAGATTTTATTAACGCGTACTATAAAGTTTCACTGTCACAGACATCATTGATGTTCAGAATTAATGTGTTCTTAATGCTGTAAAATTAACAGCACAGTGAGAGCAGGGGTGAGCCATCTCAGAAACAAACTTACCAGCAGTATTTTATTTTAAATAAACTTGAGTTACCTGCAGGGAACGCACTCAGACCGCGCGCGCGCGAGAGAGAGAGAGTTTGTAGCTCTGACAGGAATAAAATATGTTAATAAAGCCAGTTGCTGTAAACAATTATAGGTTAATGGTCTTGATAAGTGAAGCCATTTCTGT